ACTCTAAAGGATGGGAAACGTGTGGGAGGAAGGGATACACAGTGGGACACAGTGTATATCAATAAGCTTTGATGGAGAAAAAGGGACCCAGGTATTCGCTCATTCTCTTAAACTGATTTAGCCAGCCATAAGATCTAAATAAAGTCTACTCATCAATCCTGCTACAAAGAGGCCATAGGAAAAAATGATTTGTCCAGTGAGAACACATTGGAGATGCGATCAAAAATGGTGCTAAAGCAAACATTCAGCGAATCGGCAGAGAATTAATTAGGGGAAAATGAATTGTCAACTATTTTGTTAACTTCAAAGTGTCATTGCTCAAGTTATTTATCAAGACGATAAACATCAATAATCTTTGTCTTCCAGTATTGGAAAGGTCAGAATTTGCTTTGATAAAATTGAAAAAAATGATCAAAAGCAAGCTACACCTCACATCACGCTACTAGATTGGCGCTACATCATGCTCACATACCAGTATCCCTAAAAGAGCTGGAATTTAGTTTTTGGGTTTCATGTGGTTTATTCTTGACTAGCTAGCACCCAGGAGAGAACCACTGCTGTGCACCGGGTATTTTTAGTTGTCTTTGTGAGTTTATTCTGCAGGCTGCTGTCTGTTTAAATGAAAACTCATTATATATTGATTTCAGATTCACGGCCAGAAAAAAAACATATGAGGATGTCTGCTTTATTTCCAGGAAACTTAAACTTACATTTTCTTTCCTTCTTTTTTTGATAACTTTTATTCTTGCATAGACCTCATAGCTTCACAGCTCTCAGAATTCAATTGTTGGAAAGACATGAGATTTCTCAGTAATAATGTCAACATGACTGGAGTATTGTCATGAGAATTTCTGATATCTTGCTTTTAGGAGCAGAAACATGAAAATCAACATAAAATGCAATCCAAAGTCACAAAGACTGATTTAATTTGGAAAAAAAAGTTTAGATGAAGAAGGTGAAGAACTAATCTAATTTGTACCTTTGCTGTCCTATTTCTACGTTAAAAGTTAGATATCTGATGTTGGAGCCATCAAGTCAGCGGATCACTTTCTAATAATCTGAAGGAAATGTGTTAGTTTCCTGCTTTTGTATCCACCCTTTTGTAAAAACTCTAGTGCAATAAAAGCCACCATAAAGCGCATTCAGTAATGTTGGTTCGCTTACAATGCTCCTCATACTTTATCCATACCATCCTTGTGTTTCCCCCAGTATCATTCTACTGTCATAGTCTGTCTGTGTCGATCGCAGCCAGCCAATGCATTTACAGAAGCCCAATTAAACTGACGTCTGTTTCCTTGACAGCCCATTAAGCTCCTGCCTGAGATGAGATGAGGCCGAATCGCTTTACGTGCTTGTGTACACAAGCGTGATGAGGAAATGCTACTCATTACCAAAAGCCAGAGAGGAGGGTAGAGAAGCCGTTTGGTCTGCGTAGTTTTTGGAAGGTTTAGCCATTTGTTGAGAAGTCAGACAAACAGACTGTGGCAGAAAAAGATTGAGATACAACTTCAGAAAGAGGAAACAGAAAAAAGATTCCATGCGAGATTACAGTGCGAGCTGCCTGCCATTCATCTGACCAATTTCCCTTGGCAGTTCTGAGCACTTAACCTTATGACGGAGATAAACTGCATGCGTGTACACAGACACACACAAAACCTTTTAGTAACTAGAATTAATAAGCCCTAAAGCAAGCAAAAGGAGAGTCTGGCAGAGAAAATGGTCCAATTACTTGTATCACACGGGGCGTTTAGAGCGGCGGAGGTCTGCGTGTCTGAGGGGGGATTGGAGGGAAAATACTGAAATTCTATCATTTCAGTTTTATCCTATTCACAGTTGCTTTGTTTCCATTTAGTGCTCCTCTGCTACCGTGATTTTCAATCAGAAGCCATGACAAACGCTGAGTGGCGCACGGCGAATTACAGGCATTTACACGCGGCTGCACCATTTTCACAGCACTAACGTTGACCGGCTAGCACCGAATTTTTTTACGTTAAGGGCAAAATGTCGCGGGCTTATATCGAGGCGGAGAGCCAGGTGGGTGGATAAAAGGCATGCCGGCACAATTGGTGGCATCTTCAAAGTGATGAGCTTGAACGTGGGACTACACTAAAACCCCAAAACACACTAGACATTCTCTCTCCCAGCAAACACAGCAAACAGAAACAGAGCAGACTGCAAATGAGCAGAGACAGAGAGAGAAACTGAGTTTTTCTTTTTGAAAAGGAGCGAGAATATTCATACTCTGACCTCAAAACACCAACTAAACCTGAATTTCTCTCCTCCGTTTATCCCTCTTTTGATACTTCTCCCATTTAACCTTTTAGTCTTCTTTCTCCACTTCCGCCTGTCTTCCATTTCAGGAAAGCAGCTATAACTGGCTTGTCAGAGCCGATAACTGTAAACACCTCGCTCTCTCTTCACACTACACTACACCACATCCTCAAATGTTATTTCAACTTCCTCTGCGGCTCCTTCCTTACCGTAATTATCCTTCTATCTTTCCTCCTTTGCAATCTCTTGTATGCTTCCACCCTCTATTTGCATGAATAAATAAATGTGTGTCAATAAAAGAGCACGGTGAGCGGGAACAGCCTGTAAGGCAGAAGCCTATTATTTTTTTTCTGTCAACAGCATCAAGCAGATGCATGCGAAAGGTTTCTTTTGTTTTGCGCTGCTTCAACATATGGGCACATAACTCAGAAACTGCTGCATTTCTACTTGACACCTGCTCCCAACACGTTCCTCATCTCCATCTGCTGTCACAATTTACTAGACGAATGACAAATTTACCGACACGGCGAGTGAACGCAAAGAGAAGTTAGCCTTCACTCACCTCTTTGCACCAGCATGGTGACCTCACTGCCTTTGGGACACTTGCTGAGCAGGTCAACCACCTGGTTGTGGGACATGCTCTGCACATTTCTCTTGTTCACCTCCACGATGATGTCGCCCTCCCTGAGACCGCGGCAGCGTGGGTAGTCCACGATCTGTTTCACTCTTTGCCCCCCACCCCCGGGACTGTCAGCAATGGTGAATCCGAAGCCCTTGTCTCCTTTCTCCATGTGTACGGTGATGAGCTCTGGCTGCGTTGCGATGGATGAGGCCAGGGTGACTACATCACTAGGGTAGCCATGCTGGGAAGAGGTATCAGAAGCCACCTCTGTGGAGGGGCTGTGGGGTCGGGGGAGGCCGTTGACGGGGACCCCGCTGTTGGTTGGACCATTGTTGTTGTTCTGACTGCCGTGGCTGGACGGCGAGTCGTAGCTGTTGGAGGGCTCCTGGCCGTTAACGATGATGGGCTCCTTGTTGTCGAGGATAGCCACTGAGGTAACCAGGCTGGTGTTTGGGTCGTCGGGGTCAAAAGGCAACGGATAACCACGGCACAGCTCCAAGTTGACCATGGAACCAATTGGAATCGATTGGAAGATCTTCACAACTTGAGCATGGGTGTAGCCGAGCACACAGGTGTCGTTAACACTCACAATCACATCACCTTAAAGGGGTGAGAAAGAATGAAGTCCATTTATTTTTGTCAAGTAGAACATCCATCCATGCGTATCCAATTCAGGGTCACCTGATGCAGCTACCCTTTGTTAATAAATACAGGATACTTACCAGTCTCCATCTTGCCATCAAGGGCGGCAGGGCCATCTAGGACTAGGCTCTTTATCTGCAGGAACTCATCTGGCTCATCCCCTCCCACAACAGTAAAACCAAATCCCCTACGACTCTTCTTCAGTTTGGTATTTATGAATGTCCCCTTCAGCTCAGATCGGTTCCTGGTAAAGAAAGGCTTCCCTCCTAAAAACACAGACACAGATAGCTCAGCTTTCATCACATTGGATGCCACAACAGATACTCAAGAACTGGGTTAAGCAGTAGTTGGATTCAGTTTGCAAAGCCCTGGATTGCTACAGTGAAGAGCCTTTGCTCGCTTGTGTCAAACCATCTCTGCAGGTATCATTAAATGCACAACAAATCTTCTGATTGGTGTTTGTCTTGAACAGGCAAGGACAACTGTCACTGCTTGACGATTGCTCACATGGTGCAAACAGGTCAACACAGACCTATTACAATAAAATGATAAATCAGGTTAAAGGGAATGAACAGAATCATAAGCATTAAGTCAAACTGAAGGCTTAACTGATCCCATTTGGCAACTACATTAAAAGTTCATATAGAAAAGACTGAGTATGGTTGAATGACTTTCTTCAGCACATGCAACTCAGTGAAACATTGAGCAAGACCGGAAATAAGAAGCCCGAGTATAGACATGCAAAGCCTTTAAATCTGAACTCATCTACTGTTATCGCCACTGGAATCAGTCCATATTAACTTTTTGATAATAATGATCATTTATTACTTATAATTTTAATTTACAACGTGATGATGTGATGGGACAAAAACAGTTTAGACAGGAACTTATTTCAAAATAGTATAAACTACATGATACCACTTCAGCTCTTTGAATGTCTAATATGCAGGCTGCCGTTTGCTTTCACTGGCGGTTTGGCATTTGAAGACACAACAGGCGCACCAGATATCTGTAGCCTGAATAGCAATGACATTGCTTCAGATGAAGGTCACATGACCGTCGTGTTCGCATAAGCGATGTCTCCGGCTTGTTTCAATCAGCTGCTGAAATCTCATCTGAGAAGACATCTGTATCACTCCACACTGGTTGTGAGGGTTTAACTGAGACACATCTATATGAAAAACATTTGACAGTGATCTTGTGAAAGAACAACTGCTCAAACGACGACAACGACATCTAAACTCGATTCTCTTTTTCTTGACTTTGCTATCTAATTATACGGCATTAAGGATAAAGTTTATCTTTTCTACTAGGAATGAAAAACAAACAGATGAATACACAGGCACAGGCTGAGCTCCGCTTCTCTATTAAAGGACACGATGCATGCCAAACGCACAATACTTCGGATACACAAATGATTGAGGAGATGTTGGCAGAAAAGAAAATAAGAAGAGAGAGGATGATGAAGACTAAAGGAACGTCTGTGTGGTGACCTGCAGAACCACATTAGGTTATGGCAGCGCTACAGCTTACGCATTCAATGAAAAATGCATTACCCTTGGAGTCGGTCTGTGCCCTTGTGTTTTATTGTCTACATGCATGTGTGTTTTCATGCTCAGTGCCTTTTGAATTGGATTTTTTTCCCCTAGACTAGGGAAAATGTAACTAAACTGTGTGCTGATATGGGTGGCTTTATCCACCAGGGATCTAAAGATGTAAGAACAGACCAGGAAGCGGGAGGAACATAAAAAGCAAGTGTGTTAGATTAAAAGATTTCAAAAGTGATGTGTTTCTATGGAGTAATATGGAGTGCCGGCACAGTCGAGCTTGCAGGAGTTTGAGACTGGGGGTGTGGAGGGAGGGGTAAGACAAAAAGATGGACAGCACCAAGCAGTTAAACCAAAGCAGAAAGCTGGGTGGGACCAGACAAAAGGCAGCGAGACGGCAAATGTGCGCTATAAAATAAAGAGATCGATGAGGGAGAAGGAAAAGGCTGCCGACAAAGCAGCAAGAGAGAGTAAGAGGGAGAGACAGGGTGAGGCAGTTAATTCTCTGCCATGGCTGTGCTAATTAGACAAGCTGCTAGTGGGAGGCCGGTATAAAAGGAACTGGCAACCAGGAGAAGGAAACCCACTGTAACGGCGAGACTCTCTATTTGTGTGTGTGTCACTAAATGATGGGTGAAATCAGGCCATTATGTGGAACAACACAGCAGAGGTTTCCTGAGAATCAACACGTTGCCACGATAAACACAGGCAGAGGGACATTTATGGAAGGGCACTCGGCAGAGCGTGTCTTCGTAAAAATATGCAGACTGGACGCAATTTTGTTTAGTGCACGTGTCACGCGAGTTCAATTTGACTTCTAAAAAATGCATGATGTGATTTATACAGAGAGCAGCTTTACAGTGTCAGTTCAGTTCTGGTCCTCCATCACGACAACTCAAACAGGGCCTGAGGCGCTGGCACAGGAAAACAAACGAAGCTGTAAAAGATGAATTTTGTTTAACTTATAATAAGTCGCTCTGGGTGACGCCGCCTGGAAACAAAAAAGTTATGCATAATCCTCATTTCGCTTGGTTGCAGGCTTTAGCTCTCTGAGGATGACAACTTACGTTTTTGTCCCATCGCGTTGGGCACTGCGGGCCCTGTCTGAGGGTCCCTGTAGGTCTCCTGGTGGTTGGCAGCATAGCTAGCCAACGGAGCCCCTGCCATCGTCGAGTCTTCGATCCATTCTGCAACAGCGAGAGGCACATGTTCTCGAGATGGAGTCTAGACAGGTGCAAAGTTGTCCTACTTGAACGAAACTGAGGCTAAGACAACACGTCCTGCTGTGCTGTGTGCTTGCAACAAAGCAAATGCAGCTCCGATGAAGCCGACAGAACTACTGTGCAGCGTGTTAATTACAGTGGATGAAAGATTGATGTGAAGCCTTCTACCCACTACAGATTCATGTTTCACTACTGAGCTCAGTATGAACACAAGCATTAATATGGTTTCGCATCTCTCTTCTCAATAAAACTGGTGGTGTGGGAAACCAGAAACAACTGATTCCCTTTTTCTTGACTGCCTACCACCTTTGATTAATCACCTTGCTAGCCTGCAGTTTGTCATAATATTCATAACAGATAGATGAAGTAAACACGTGTTTGAAAAACTGATTGTTTTTTGTTTTTTTTTATCTTTTACAGAGAGATTCAACCTTCAATTGGGGGGGGGGAAAAAATCAGCAGGTGAATCTAATGTTTTATGCTGAATGAGCAGAATGTGGAGTGCAATAGGAGAATTCCCTCTTGAGTTGACCTGCATTTGCAATTAATTTCACTGTAGGGTGTCCTGTGAATATGCAAAGAAAGGAGGGCAAGAGCATCACTGAGCTACCCGTTGCTTGGTTTTGGGCAGCTGTCTCAGAAGAAGTGTTTGGGAAGAGTTCTTATTAGTGTTACAACTGGCAGCATTTTATTAAGTAACACAAAATTAAGGGTCTCCACTCCAGCTCTTAAGCAGGCAGGTGGGAGCCAAACTTACCCGTCGTTACCTTCGTCCAAAGCAAACGAGAATCAAAAGGTAGCACAGAAAACTGAAATTAACTTCAAAAAGGCTGCGTGGTGCAGCCGCAAATAATAGTTATGCCTTTATGGGAGGGCACTTAGCAAATCATAAGGCAGGAGCTGGCAGCAAAAATAAAACCGTAGCAGTAATAGGCATTGGCAGATAAAGTCACACTCGCTCATACTCACACAGACAGACACGCAGAGCATGCAGGCAACTCATTTATACACATGAATAAGAAAGAAAGAAAATGACGCCCCTGGTGGGGGCTTGTGAACGAACCTCGGATGTAGCGCTCACCTTCAGGTGGCTGCTGGCTCTGGGGCTGAGGCTGCTGAGGCTGCTGCTGTTCCAGCTGCCTGCGCTTCTTAGCCTCTAGCACCGGATTTTCATACTGGGTCTTCCTGTTGATATGACTTTGGGACGGTGGACGGAGTGGATGAAAAGAACATAAGAATACAGAACAAGATGTAAGGGGGGGTAAAAATCAGCAGGAGAGTAGAGCACAGCAGGGACACGGAGAAGAGGATAAGGTAACAGCAGAGCGGGAGAGGGTCAACAAAGGGCGAGGGGATTGGGGTGGGGAGTGGAGAAACATGGCGATAAGCTTTGATTAATACATGGTGGCACAATGCACACACACCCACGCTTACACAGAAACCTCTCTTTGAGATGCACATGACACAGCCGTGCCTACAAATCACATCAAATAAATCCTTTTGTGCTGACGGCTTAATTTCGCTGAAACCACAAACATCTTTCACATTACAGCCTGGGAGGTTTCCTACTAACCTAACTAGCACTGAAAAATGGAACCTGAAAGTGCCAAATTATACAGCAAATGAAGGAAACTGTGAATAATGTATATTAGAAAAAATATTGCAGAAACAAAGAGGGGGGGGGGGGATGCCACAGCCTTGGGCCCACAGGTGCTGCTTTGAACAACATAAAAAAAAACAAACCTAAAAAACCCTGCATAGAACATATTTGTATTAATGCTGAGGCCCAGGGGCTTCACACAATATGAGATACGCACATATGTGCTCGCACAAACACGCTCGCTGCATATTTTTGTTCATTTATTTCCGAATGTTAATGACACAAACAATGGCCTACATTTTCCAGGACACAAAAGGACTGAAAAAGAAATGTGTGGATGTACTTCTATTTATGCACACGAAGAAGAAGCTGGGAGCTATTTCTAGATTTTTCTGCGGCGTCAGCCTGTGCACTTACTCAACATAGTAGACTCCATACACTGGATCATCTATTTTCTCCCATCCTGGAGGAAGTTCTGTAAAGAAAAAAAAAAAGATAATGAGACAAAGGAAGTAAGTAAATCTTGACTTGCAGGAAGCCGTGTATTGAGCCATTTGTGGCAAAGCCAGGAAAGACCTTTTGCCACGCCATTGTAATCGGCCCGTCAGTCAGTCTCCGAGGCCAGAGCAGCTCAACAGCTTCACAGGCTGTCTGGCTGTTCTCACCTCTGTCCCCCTCACAATGCTGACATTTCCACCCATCAGATAAGAACAGAGCAAGACCCCCATGGGCACAGGTGGATGTATGAATGCGGGGAGGGGGGTAGAGAGATGAAAGGCACATGAGAAGGAAATCGTGAGAAGGAAGTGGACAGGAGCACGGGAAGTGGGAAGAAATACAGGGAAAAAACGGCAATGAAGAAGAGGCAGCTAAAGTTATAAATGACAGGAAGTAGGTGGAAAATTCCAGGCTTAGAAACCTTTGTGCAAAATACATTGAAGCTAAATTCTGTGAGATGATTGGTTGGTTTCTGAATGAACGACTTCTCTTCTTTTCTTTCCCCTGATACAGAAGAAAAACAACATTCTACAGAATATCACACAGAAACACACGTCTCTAATCAGTGCGCTGGAAAGGTATGGTCGAAAAGTACCTGTCCTTGGCTAAACAAAGGCTCTTTAGTTTTCACATGGATCGCTAAGTGTCTGGTAGAGATTGTTGCAGATTTGACTTCACATTCGTCTCTTTGTGGGCAGAATTAAAACCTGCTTGAGTAGAACTGAAAGGGGCACTGTTCACACTGATGTAAGGACACGTGTGCGAATGCTAAAACACGTGAAAAGGTGAAACTTAAAAGATGACCATAGAAAGACATGAATATGATGCCAATGTGCAATCATCCAGTGGTGCAAACTTGCTGCAGCGCAAAGCTGTTATCTTCAACTGAGCCATCTGATTCACTTCTCCCGCCTGATTACAGCAGCATTGATTACTGGCCATTCTCCACACAGATAATGTCAGACGCTTCTAATTGGCTACAAACAGAGATTGTCCGGTAATCCTCTCCTGTGACGAATAAGTTCTACATATTACCATTATTATTATTATTGTATATATATTTATATTTCTTCATACATTCTTATATATTTCTATACTGTGTATTGTGTGTTTTGTTGTACAGTTGTTTCATTTTATTTTATTCCTTCCTAGTTAAATTTACCCTTTTTAATTTTCATATTTATTTCCTATCTTATTCATAGCCTTTTTTTTTCCCCTTTAGGTCACGAGCAGTTGTGTAAGCATTTCACTGCATATCGTACTGTGTATGACTGTGTATGTGACAAATAAAATTTGAATTACCCCCAGCCAATTTCTGCTCTGCCCTGCGTGCAAGTAGATGGTAATTACAATCATCCAACTTGGAGAGCTTCCCTCTGCTTTTTAATAAGGAGGACCTCGGCTGGAGTGGAATCAGCTGCAGATGCAGACACACAGAAACACGCCGCCGCGGTCTACATATTAATTTATCATTTGTAAGTGAAACCAGAGCCAACAGCTCCGTGCGTGTAAGCGGCTCGGGCTTCTGTGGGTTCCGTCTTTTTCTACACCTGCTGAAGTGCATCTAAAAGCACAAGCGGCAAAGAAGAAATGCAAGGTTACGGGAAAGAGATGTCGCGAGGGTGAACGTGCAAGGCGAGCACGGTAAATTATCATTTAGATGTTTTGAACTGGAACGTTAAATGGAATGCGGTCCCGCCTGGCGTCACGCACAAATTTTAATCACCCACGTTATTTCACACTGCACTAGTTCCAGTCCGGGA